GCTCATCTCTGAATGAATCTTCATGAACCAAGCCTCTCCAGTCTGCATGTTTCTCTGCATGTCTTAGAGACTCCTACCAGAAGAGCCTATAAAGCTCTTCTTACCATATTTAAAGGCCTTCCTAGCCCAAATTTCAAAGTATTTTTTCATTTCCTAATTAGTTTCAAAGACCTAAGAACCTTATAGTCAGGCTTATAGAAACTGCCCAACTCCTGGTGCCAGTTTCTGTCTTAGCTACTTTCTGTTGCTGTGATAAAAAATACTCTGGAAAAAAAAATCAATTTAGCTGGGCGGTGGTGGCATACACCTTCTTCAATCCCAGCACTTGGGAGGCAGAGGTGGGTGGATCTCTGTGAGTTTGAGACTAGCCTGGTCTACAGAGCAGTTTCAGAACAGCCAGGACTGTTAAACAGAGAAACCCTGTCTCAAAAAAACAAAACAAACAAAAGATCAACTTAGACCTGGGTGTGATGGTAAACTCAGAGGAACAGAAGCAAGTAGATCTCTGAGTTCTGGCCAGCCTGGTCTACACAGGTTTCCAGGAAGCCAGGGCCATTTTGAGAGATCTTGTCTCAAAAAAGCAACCAACCAACAGAAAGGAAACTTACCAGGTGAAGAGCTTATTTTGGCTTACAGTGTCAGTAAGATACAGTCAGGGAAAACATGATGGCAGCAACACAGGAAGCAGAGAGCGTGAACAGGAAGCGTGTGCACTTCTTTCCAGCAGGGCTCTGCCTTGTAAAGGTTCCACACCTCAAGCAGCTCCCTCAACAATGAGACCCATTGTTCAAATGCGTGGACTAGGAGAATTTCACATTCAAACTACAGCGTTGACGCCTGGGATTCTCAGGAACAAGGGTTCTGTACATCTGGGTTCCTTGTGGTAGTGCATGCTCTTCCACAGTAAGAGTCCTCTTTGTCTTCTGGGGCAGCGTCTGGGGACATTTCCTTCCAACTCTTGAGATCTCTTCTCTTTTTCAACTAAGCGTTTCTGGCACAGTAGGAGCCTCCTTTTCCTTCTCTTTGGCACCGCCATGATTACTGCCAGAAAAGAACAGCGTGTAATCTCTTCAGACCTCAGTTTCTTCATCTGTCTAATGGAAAGCATATGTCCCTATCTTTACTCTGGAAAGTGAGGCAGGATTATCACCAGTTGAAGGCCAGCATAAGCAATGGGAAGGCAGACAGACCTTCTGCCTCTGCCTCTCAAATGTTGGATGAAAGGTATCTCACTGTGTCCAATAAAATGATACATTAAAAACAGTAGTAACAGTGGGCCTTGTGTCCGCAAGTCTGCAGTTCTCACTCCCTGACACAGTGCGGGAAGACAGCGAGTTCAAGGCCTGCCTGGCAGTTTCATAAGATCTTGTCTCTAAAAGGCAAAAGAAGGGCTGGGATAAAGGCTTAATGGGATGATGCTTACCTAATATGTGAAAGGCTCCACCTAGGTCAGTGGTTCTCAACCTTCCTAATGCCGCAACTCTTTAATACAAAGTTCCTCATGCTGTGGTGACCCCCAACCATAAAATTATTTTGTTGCTACTTCTTAACTGTAATTTGGCTTACTGTTATGAATCATAATGTAAATATCTGATATGCAGAATATCTGATATTCAACCCCTGTGAGAGGGTTGTTCGACTCCCAAAGCATCTTGACACACAGGTTGAAAACCACTGCCATGGGTTCAATACCCACTGCCTCCAAAATGCTGCTGCTGATGACAAGTAATACCTACACACTTGTTTACTGAGAGGATTAATTTACCTTAGAATGGCCGGGCGATGGTGGCGCACGCCTTTAATCCCAGCACTCAGGAGGCAGAGGCAGGCGGATCTCTATGAGTTCGAGACCAGCCTGGTCTACAGAGCTAGTTCTAGGACAGGCTCCAAAGCCACAGAGAAACCCTGTCTCGAAAAACCAAAAAATTAAAATAAATAAATAAATAAATAAATTTACCGTAGAATGTGCTCAACATAGTGCTTGGCCTTTATAAGGGATCAGTATCTGCAGCTACTGTTTTATTATTTTATGAAAATTGTTATGATTGCCTCTCTTGTAGTTTGCTTTCCATTGCTGTGATAAACACCATGACCAAAAGCAACTTGGGAGAAAAGGGTTTATTCCATATTCCAGGTTTTTCTATCATCCAGAAAAATCAGGGTGGGAATTCAAGTCAGGAACTTGGAGGCAGAGGCCACGGAGGGATGCTTCTTACTGGCTGGCTCCTCCTGGCTTGCTCAGCTTACTTACAGAACTCAGGGCCATCTTCCCAGGAGTGGCACCACCCACAGTGGACTGGGATCTCCCACGTCCATCATTAATTACAAAAAAAAAAAAATGCTCCAGTCATGCCCACAGAGCAGTCTAACAGAGACATTTTCTCAGTTGAGGGTCCCTCTTCCCAGATGACCCTCGCTTGTGCCCCATGAACAAAACAACAAATAAAGACAAATTCTCAAAGAGCTTGGTACAGACACCACATTTTTTGTCTGTCTGTGTCTGTCTGTCTATTTTGAGAGAGTCTTACTCTTGCTGTCTTGTAACTCACTGTGTAGCTCAGGCTGTCCTCAAAGTCATGATAATTCCCCTGTCTCCGCTTCCGGTTCATTAGCTCTTACACATTAGGGCTGATTTCCTCTTGCTCCTGCAGACCCATGGACTTAACAACCCTGAAGAGGAATCTGTCCAAGGGACGCATTCACACCATGGCTGAGTTCCAGCGGGACCTGATGCTGATGTTCCAAAATGCTGTGATGTACAATGACTCTGACCATCACATCTACCATATGGCCGTGGAGATGCAGCGTGAGGTCTTGGAGCAGATGCAGGTACCGCGGCAGACAGTGCCATAAGAACGGGGAATGGAGTTTCTGGAATCGGATGTAAGAATCCTGTGAGACTAGAGATGATGTGGAGTGAGTGACCTTGTGTTCAGAGATGACTGAAGGACCCTCAGGGTTGGTAAACTCCAGGTCTTCCCTGTCTTAGAAGGTCCAGATTTATGCACAGTGGCAAGAGATTTATCTGGGAAGGTCAGCAGCAAGACAGCAGGGACTGAGCAGGTAATGGGAACTTCTGCTTTCAAAGGCCCAAGTTGTAAAACTTAAAAGCAAGTCAAGTGCTGGGTCCACTGTCCATGTCCTGGTTGCTACAGCTGCTGTAATGTAACTCATGTCCATTAGCAAATAATGTACATGAATAGTTGCCGCCTTTGGGGGGATAGGCATAGTAAGGTCAAGGAGACGTAAGGATTTCTCTTTGGGGAAGCATCACACTTTAATGATAAAATAGATGGGGATTTTTGCCTATAAAATAGATGAAATTATTAAATTAATGGGTTATCAAAAAATTGAAGTTATTTAGAATACAATCAAATTCTTAATATCACTACATGAATCCTTTTCAGTTTTATCATTAAAATTAATATTTTTGTGCTTTTGCTTGTTTGTTTTTGTTTTTTGAGACAGGGTTTCTCTGTGGCTTTGGAGCCTGTCCTGGAACTAGCTCTTGTAGACCAGGCTGGTCTCGAACTCACAGAGATCCGCCTGCCTCTGCCTCCAGAGTGCTAGGATTAAAGGCGTTATTTTTGTGCTTTAAAAAAAATAGATGAGGGGGCTGGAGAGATGGCTCAGAGGGTAAGAGCACTGGCTGCTCTTCCAGAGGTCCTGAGTTCAATTCCCAGCAACCACATGGTGGCTCACAACCATCTATAATGAGACCTGGTGCCTTCCTTGCCAGCAGTACATTGTATGCTTAATAAATAAATCTTTAAAAAAAAACAGGTGAAATTGCACATTTCCTATGTGGCTTTAAGGTTCTTGGTTTGTGTCTGGCCTGGCCCCTGTAGGTGCTGAGTACTTGGTTAGACAAACAGAAGGACTCGAGCAGTCCGGAGTGAGTGCCAGCTAATCCAGTGGGTGAAGGCAGCCTGCTCTGTTAGCCTGCAACTACAAGTCTGAATAGTTCTCCTGACACCTGGCCAGAGAAGATCTGAAGACTTACTTCCTCCTTCTCCATCACCTTCCCTAATAAGGATAATAAGCCTTACTTCCTTACCGAGCAGTCAATGGTGCTTGCAGCTGTAATATTTTAAAGGGCTGGAGGTGGGGTACTGAAATGCAGGTTTATGATGTAAATATTTCCCATATTTTTGTTGCATAGATTTAGAAGTGATTTAATTGAACCTTTTGCTTCTCTATAAATAAATATTTTACAAGCCAAAGATTTTGTTGGGTTTTTGAGCCAGGTCTCAGAACATTTAAACTCAGGCTTTCCTGGAAATCTCTATAGCATCCAGCCTCTCCCTCCAGTGGAATGCTGGGACTAGAGGTATGTGCCCCCAGACCTTACAAAGACTTGTTTCAAATAATTAAAGAAGCTGTGATAGAAGGCACAGCATCAAGTGGTGAAACGAAGAAGGTATTTGCTGGGGATGGCCCAGTGTTGAGTGCTTGTCTAGCATGGGCCCCGGGGTTGATCCCAGCACTAACACCATCACCTCCTAAAGAGGGGGGGAGAAGAAGAAGGAGGAGGAGGAGGAGGAGGAGCAGGAGCAGGAGGAGGAGGGGAGGGAGAGAGGGAGGGAGGGAGGGAATGCAGGACAAAAATGAAGAAAAGAGAAAGTAGTGTCAAGAAATAAACTTGACATTAATCTTTCACATGGTGTCTGGGAGGGGTGGAGCCGGTGAGAGGAGTGTCTGATTTATCTCATTTAAGAAGTGTGAATAAATCAAGCATTCTTCAAGTAGGTTCGAGGATGAAGATCAATTAGAGGAAGGTTGGCACTACGGTTCAGAGGGTAAAGAGGCTTGCATACAAGCCCCGCCACATGAGGTCCATCCCTGGAAACCGCAAACACGGAAAGACTTGATTACACGAAGTTGTTTTCTTACCACCACATTACATACAATAAAATTCTCACGGCCTGAAAAACGCTGCTGGGATTGGCCCTCTGCAGCCACCGTTGGAAAGGCAGCTTCAGGTTTCTTGGCAACGGGTTTTGACAACACCTGAACGGAGGTGAGAGCGGGGAGGGTATAGCCTGGAGATTTCCTAAGGATTTGGGGACCCTGCCTTGCAGTCAAGTCTAAGCCTGTGCAAAGCAGTTCCCGAGGGATGGGGGCCCCTCGCTAGGGCAGCGGGCTAGAGCCTTCCCCACCCACTGATGGCTCCATCCAGCCTCCAGCCTCAGTGAAGCGGCCAGGGTTCCACTTGGGCTTTGTACAAGTCATATTCTTCGAGACTGCTTGTAGGAAGACACGCAGTTTCCATTTTCACAAATTAATCAACCCTAACACCAAGTATTGCCTCGGGTCGAATTTGGGACGGGAGTGCGTGTCATTGCAGTGGATACCTGGTCAGAGATTAGTGACTTAAACCGGGAAACGCCAGAATGGAGGTGTCAATGCCCCTGCCTCAGATATATGTAGAAAAAACCCTAGCTCTTATCAAGCCAGATATTGTTGACAAAGAAGAGGAGATACGCGACATTATTCTCAGATCTGGATTCACCATCATTCAGGTAACTTCGGGCGTCTCTTTATTAGTCTGCACTATATGTATATAAATGTACCCACCCGTTTAGATCCGTGGTAACATTAAGCTTACACTTCTAAACATAAAGGTTATATGTAAGCTGCTCAGGTAGGCACATGCCTGTAATCTCTGTCCAGGGAGGTGGAGGCAGCAGGATCAGGAATCCGGTTATGCAGTGACTTCAGAGTTGACAGATCTGCCTCCGCTCTGTGAGTCCTGTCTCAAAAACAAGCAAGTTACTTGTTTTTTTTTTTTTTTTACTTTCTTTTTTTTTCTTTCTTTATTTATTTATTAAATATTTCAGTCTCTTCCCCACCTCCGCCTCCCCTTTCCCTCCCCCTCCCCCAATCCATTCCCCCTCCCTCGTCAGCCCAAAGAGCAATCAGGGCTCTCCGTCCCGTGGGAAGTCCGAGGAAAACCCTCCTCCGTCCAGGTCTCGTAAGGTGAGCATCCAAACTGCCTAGGCTCCCACAAAGCCACTACATGCAGTAGGATCAAAGACCCATTGCCATTGTTCTTGATGTCTCAGTAGTCCTCATTGTCCGCTATGTTCAGTGAGACCGGTTTTAACCCAGGCTTTTTCAGACCCAGGTCAGCTGGCCTTGGTGAGTTCCCGATAGAGCATCTCCATTGTCTCAGTGTGTGGGTGCACCCCTCGCGGTCCTGAGTTCCTTGCTCATGTTCGCTCTCCTTCTGCTCCTGATTTGGACCTTGAGATTTCAGTCCGGTGCTCCAATGTGGGTCTCTGTCTCTGTCTCCTTTCATCGCCTGATGAAGGTTAATATTCAGGAGGATGCCTATATGTTTTTCTTTGGGTTCTCCTTCTTCTTTAGCTTCTCTAAGAACCCGAATTGTAGGCTCAATGTCCTTTATTTATGGCTAGAAACCAAATATGAGTGAGAACATCCCATGTTCCTCTTTTTGGGTCTGGCTTACCTCACTCAGGATAGTGTTTTCTATTTCCATCCATTTGCCTGCAAACTTCAAGAAGTCCTTGTTTTTTACTGCTGAGTAGTACTCTAATATGTATATATTCCATACTTTCTTCATCCATTCTTCAATTGAGGGGCATCTAGGTTGTTTCCAGGTTCTGGCTATTACAAACAATGCTGCTATGAACATAGTAGAGCATATATTTTTGTTGCATGATAAGGCCTCTCTTGGGTATATTCCCAAGAGTGGTATTGCTGGGTCCATGGGTAGGTTGATCCCAAATTTTCTGAGAAACCGCCACACTGCTTTCCAGAGTGGTTGTACAAGTTTGCATTCCCACCAGCAATGGATAAGTGTACCCCTTTCTCCACAACCTCTCCAGCATAGGCTATCATTGGTGTTTTTGATTTTAGCCATTCTGACAGGTGTAAGATGGTATCTTAAAGTTGTCTTGATTTGCATTTCCCTGATCGCTAAGGAAGTTGAGCATGACCTTAGGTGTCTTTTGGCCATTTGAACTTCTTCTGTTGAGAGATCTCTGTTCAGCTCAGTGCCCCATTTTATAATTGGGTTGATTAGCCTTTTACAGTCTAGTTTCTTAAGTTCTTTATATATTTTGGAGATCAGACCTTTGTCAGTTGCGGGGTTGGTGAAGATCTTCTCCCAGTCAGTGGGTTGCCTTTCTGTCTTAGCGACAGTGTCCTTTGCTTTACAGAAGCTTCTCAGTCTCATGAGGTCCCATTTATTCAATGAGGCCCTTACTGTCTGTGCTGCTGATGTTATACGTAGGAAGTGGTCTCCTGTGCCCACTTGTTGTAAGGCAAGTTACTTGTAATAGATAAGTTTTCCCCATTTCCGAAAGATACAGCATAAAACACAAAAGAAGCCGAATTGTTCTTTCCGTCCCAAGTTAGGTCTAGAGAGAGGAAATGGCTTACTGCATTATCCGCTCCCAGGGGTTTCTCTGCGATTGAAACATTTCCCGCACAAGAGGGAGTGATCCTCTCTGACTTCCTCACAGAGTCTCTTTGGTAAAGTTCTGGATCAATCATTAAATTGTAGTCAACAGAGCCGGGCGGTGGTGGCGCAAGCCTTTAATTCCAGCACTCGGGAGGCAGAGGCAGGCGGATCTCTGTGAGTTCGAGACCAGCCTGGTCTACAAGAGCTAGTTCCAGGACAGGCACCAAAACCACAGAGAAACGCTGTCTCGAAAAACCAAAATAAATAAATAAATAAGGCATGTGCAGTACTCCTGTGCCTAGTCAGGTTCTCCAGTGGTGGGAGTGCTTTTGTTTGTGTGTTTGTTTTTAAAACAGGGTTTCTCTTAGTAGCTCTGGTTGTCCTGGAACTCACTCTGTAGACCAGGCTGGCCTCAAACTCAGAGATCCGCTTGCTTCCGCCTCCTTAGTGTTGGGATTAAAGGTGTGTGCCACCACTGCCCAGCAAATATTTGATGTTTTAAGACCAATATTTGTTCCACAGTTGGTAAACATTGTTAAGGAAGCCAGACTCTCCAGAGGACATTGAGAGGTCAGCTTGTATTACACAGGGAGTCCTAGGTCAGCCTGGGGTACAGGGACCTGAGGTACAGGGGACCCGGGCACCAGAAGTGGTGGTGTAAGCCTGTGATTCCATCTCTAGGTAGGATAAGACTGGAGGATCTTGAGGGCCCCACCATCTTGGCCTTCACAGAGTTCCTAACTGTCCTCTAGAATGACAATGTCTCCAACTAAGGACCAAAATGTATGAATATACCAAATAGAACATAATATTTTGTTGAATTTTACTTGAGTTTACTAGTTTTTTATCCTTTTAGATGTATATAGCTTAGTGCAGTGCTCTTATTCCAAGCACTGCAGAAGCAGGTGCAGCTCTGTGAGTTTGAGGCCAGCCTGATCCCTACAGCAAGTTCCTGGCGAGCCTGGGCTGCACAGTGACCCTGTCTTAAATGTTCTTATACAGAACCAAACATAATGGCACAGGCTTTTAATCCCAGCCCTCGGGAGGCAGAGGCAGGCAGATCTCTGTGAGTTCGAGGCCAGCCTGGTCTATATAGTGAGTCCCAGAACAGCCCGAGCTACAGAGTGAGACCCTGTTTCAAAAACAACAACAACAGAAATTATATAGTATTAGGTTGTCATAATAGCATCTATTTTGTCAGTGTGTTAAAGAAAACTGAGCTGGGGAGAAGGTTTTTGGCACAGTGTTTGCTGAGCAAGAACAAGGACCTGGGTTTGAATCCCCAGCAACCATGTAAAAGCTAGGTGAGGTGGTAGACACCTGTAGGTAATCCCAGTGCTGGGGGGGGGCAGGAGGACCCCTGGAGCTTTTGAACCCACCAGGCTTGAGAAGTTGGTGAGCTTTGGGTTCAATGGGGGATCCAAGGTGGTGAGCAAGTGAGGCTAGCACCCAGTGTGGAGCTCTTGTCTACACGTATGACACCAGCACCCCCACGTATGTGTATATACCCATGAACACAGGCATGCATATCACAGACACATACACACACACAGGTAACCGGGGGGGGGGGGGGCTTTGTTTTTCTCTTTCCTTTTGCTTTGTTTTGGAAGAGATCCATTACGTCAATTGTACCATACTATTTTTAGGGTCCAGTGCAGTGGTATTCACTACCTTCGCTTGGTTTTGTGACCCTCACCATTATCATCTGTCGTTTTCAACATGAAGCTGTGAACTTATTGTTAAAAGGGGTGAAGTGTGTTCCATCTCCCCCAGCCCCTGGTAACCACTAGCCTGCCTTCCATCCCAAGGCTGGGACTCTCGCAGCTGTCTCACAGTGACATTGCAGGGCATTTGTGCGGTTCCTTTGCAGAACAGGCTCTGAGCTTTCCTCTTTCCAGCAGGTGGCAGGCTTTTCTTTGTCACGGGCTGAGTTCTGTGCCCCACAGGTAGTTTTCACCAGATTCCGGCTGTCCTGAAGCTGGCTCGGTCAGTCAGGCTTGAACTCACAGATTTCAGGTTTTTTTTTTAATTTATTTTATTTATTTATTTATTTTTTATATTTTTTTTATTGAGAATAAGAAAAAAAAGTTTCCGCCTCCTCCCAGCCTCCCATTTCCCTCCCCCTCCCACAGATTTCAGTTTTAAAGCAACCAATAAAATCCATTAGTTTTGTGTCGACTTTAAAGATGGACTCAAAATTTTTAAAATTATGCTGCAGGAACCAAGAAACCTGCAGACGGGGCCCATGTGGGGCTTGCCTGTGTCTGGGGAGGCAGGCAGCAGAGTACACTGGCACAGAAACCATACCGTGAGTGAGGCCTACCTGAGGCACACAAGACCCGTCTCAAAACAGACAAACAGCTTCCCTGGGTGGTGGAGGGAGGAGAGTCGTGTGGGAGCTAGGCTTCTTGGGAGCTGACCGAAGAGTTTATCAGACTATTCCTCTCTGCACCCTATAATACCGTGCCTGGAGCTAAACTCATATCCCAGTTATTGTTATTATTATTATTATTATTTGTTGTTGTTGTTTTTAGAGACAGTGACTTACTCTGCAGCCCTAGACGACCTCACTATGCAGACCAAGCGTGCCTGATGGCTGGGTGACCATGCACGTGTGCCTGCACAAGTGCGTGGATGGCTGGGTGACCGTGCACGTGTGCCTGCACAAGAGCGTGGATGGCTGGGTGACCGTGCACATGTGCCTGCACAAGGGTGTAGATGGCTGGGTGGCTGTGCACGTGTGCCTGCACAAGAGCATGGATGGCTGGGTGACCGTGCACGTGTGCCTGCACAAGAGCGTGGATGGCTGGGTGGCTGTGCACGTGTGCCTGCACAAGGGTGTGGTTGCCGGAAGAGGGAGTGTGGTGAGTACCCTGCTGGTAGTGTAGGTGCTCGGATCCAAACTCTACTCATGATGCTCAGCAAACACTCTTTAACAACGTGTGTGTGTGTATGTGTGTGCATGTACACACACAGCGTATGTGTTTCAGTCTGAAAACTTAGGGAACCGGCTCTCTCTTCCCAGCATGTAGTTCTGGGGTTGAACTAAGAGCCTCAGCGTTGGCAGCAAGCGTGTCTCCCCACGGAGCCATCTCATCAGCCTAGGGATCTTATTTATTTTAAGTTGGATAAATATAAATACTTCCTCTGAGCACATTTAATTTAATTATCATTTCTGTATAATAATACAAAGATAATTACAGGCATGAGCTACCATGTCTGGGAAGTTATTAATGACTTAATGAGTTCTTCTGAGCTGTTACTTTAATTGCTTTTGTTGACTTTGTTTTGTTTACAGAGACGAAAACTACATCTGAGCCCTGAGCACTGTAGTAACTTTTACGTGGAACAGTATGGGAAACTGTTTTTCCCAAACTTAACAGCTTATATGAGCTCTGGACCTCTTGTTGCTATGGTACTAGCCAGACATAACGCCATCTCTTACTGGAAAGATCTTCTGGGGCCACCTGATAGTTTGGTAGCCAAGGAGACACACCCAGACAGGTAACTTCCCCGGAGTGCCTTGAGGGATTGAAGCCCCTTAAAGTACTAAAGCAAAAGAAACAAGCAAAAAACCAAGCCCAGTATCTTTGTAATTCTGGATTACAGGCGTGAGCGATGACATGTGACTATGAAGGAGGATTTTTGAAATTGCCTTTCATTTATTTATTTATTGTGTGGGCGCTTGGGCCTGGCCCAGGGGGAGGCCAGAATGCAGCTGGTGGGAGTTAACCCTCTTCTGTCCACAATGTGGGTCCCAGATCAACTCGGGTCATCAGGCTTTAGAGAACCCACGTACTGATCCAGAAGTAGGATTTTTAATGGGAAAATTTGAAATTTTTAGATTTATTTTCTGGACATGGTGATTCATGCCTTTAATCTCAGTACCTGAGAGACAGAGGCAGGCAAACTTCTGAGAGTTTAAGGCTAACTTGGTCTACCTAGAAAGTTCCAGGCCAGCCACGGATACATAATGAGAAGCTGCCCCCCCCCAATCAAAATTTTTAGCACAATCACTGGTTTCTAGAAATGAAACAGTTGTCGCACTTTTGAATTTATATTTCCTTTTCCCTTCTCCCAAAAACCACCCTTCTTCACCTAGAGAATGGCTGTTCTCAGTGCATCCCACCAGCACACACAAATGTTTGACTGTCATCTAGTGATGTCCTGTCTAGAAACAAGCAGACAAAAATAGAAACCGCTGGCGAGATGGCTTAGCCCGTAAAGCGCTTGTTGCCTAGTGGGATGACCTGGATTCGAACTCAGGACCCACGAGCTGGCAGGAGAAAACCGCCCCTGAAGTAGTTTTCTGACCTCCACGTGTGACGCCCCCCTCCTCCCAATAATGTAGAGGAAATGTCAGAATGGAAGAACAGCATCCTTCCCTAACTTGCTTTAGTCTAAGGGCGATTTACGGTACGGATGAGCTACGGAACGCCCTTCATGGGAGCAACGACTTTGCTGCCTCGGAAAGAGAGATTCGGTTCATGTTCCCAGAGGGTGAGTTTCTCATGCGGGCTTTCTTGACTATACCTCCAAATCGGTCACTTCTTAAAGTTTGATTTTGTTTTGAAGACATGGCTAGGAAGCAAGATAGAATTTTCCTCCAAATATGCTTTATTATATTTTCAAGTTGTGAGTCATCCAAACTTGAAGCTGGAGGGGCCTGGGGTGCTTGCTGAGCTCCTGGGATGTCCTGGGTTTGAATCCCAGCACCGGATATAAAAGCAGGCACAGGTCACTAGCCTGTAATCCTAATTTTAGCTCTGGAGGACCAGAAATTCAAATCTTAGCTCTGTTGAAGCCAGTCTAGGCTACCCCAGCCCTTATCTCAAAACAAACAAAGCACAAACTCAAAACAAAAACCAAACTCTCAGCACTTGGGAGGCAAAGGCAGGTGGATCTCCGTGAGTTCCAGGCCAGCCTGATCCGCAGAGCTCCCGGGCAGCATAGGCTACAGAGAGAGAGACCTGTCTCAAAAATGCAGAAGCTGAGACGAGGCTCAGAGAGCTGACTCAGCTGCTCTTGCAAAGGACCAGGGTTCAGTTCCCAGCACCCACAGCGGTTCGTAACTCCAGCTCCAGGGGATCCAACACCCTCTTCTGACTTTTTTGGGCAAGCCGGCATGCACCAGTATGCACAAACATACATGTAGACAAACACATAAACACAAACACCGACAAAGCAGAGCTGAAAGTGCACACCTGTGACCTGTGGATTGTGCTGTGCCCTGGGCTCTCTTCTTTCTCCGGAACTGGGCGTGTTTAGGATTGCTCTTCCTTGTGCTGTATTCTTCCTAATTACCCATGATCCTTCAGGAGTGTCTCAGACAGAGGAATAGTAAAGTTAACAAGTTCTTGTGCAGTCAGGCAGGGCTCTGTTGCTGGTTTTGACCTCTGCTCCTTTGTTTAGACTTGGTAAACGTGTCTTTTTCCAAAAAAACCAAAATTTTTTTTCTAAAAGTTCTAAGTCACTGTGAAATTGGTCATTGGAGATTCGTTTTGATTTCCATCCAATTTGAAGTCATGAATCTGGTAATCCTTTAAGAAATGGAGCCGGGCGCTGGTGGCGCACGCCTTTAATCCCAGCCCTTGGGAGGCAGAGGCAGGCGGATCTCTGTGAGTTCGAGACCAGCCTGGTCTACAGAGCTAGTGCCAGGACAGGCTCCAAAGCCACAGAGAAACCCTGTCTCGAAAAACCAAAAAAAAAAAAAAAAAAAAAAAAGAAATGGATATACTAGCCAGGTGGTGGTGGTACACATCTTTAATCCCAACACTCAGAAGGCAGAGGCAGATGCAGATGGATCTCTGTGAGTTCGAGCCCAGCCTGGTCTACATAGAGCAAGTTCCAGGACAGTCAGGGCTATACAGAGAAACCCTATCTCAAAAACAAAACAAAAACAAAAGCAAACCAAAAAAAAAAAAAAAAACAAAAAAAACAGAAGAAAGAAAGAAAGAAAGAAAGAAAGAAAGAAAGAAAGAAAGAAAGAAAGAAAGAAAGAAAGTGTGGAAGAATCAGGATGCTGTCTCTAAGCACTGGGGTGAACCTAGGACTTTATAACAGGCATATCTTGGCCAGTGAGCTGCTGAGTGTGCAGCCCTTTTTAAGATTTATTTCATTTTTGTTTATGTCTGTGAGTATACACGACATGTGTGCAGATGCCCTTAGAGGCCAGAAGAAGACATTGGATCCCCTGGAGTTAGAGTTACACTCAGCTGTGAACCCCCTTATGTGGGCTCTGAGGTAGGAATTTGGGAGTCTCTGGAAGAAAACTTGGCCTTAACCATTGAGCCATTCCTCCAGTCCCCTGTTTACTTTGAGACAGGCCTCTGTGTCTCAGGCTGGCCTTGAGCTCCTGATCTTCCTGCTTCCATTTACTGAGTTCTGGGATTCCAGGCATCTACTGCAACCTGCAACCAGTCCTTTGTTTTTTAAAACAGATCTCACTAAATTGTCCACAGGTAAGCCTTGCTTTGGTCCATCTGTGCAGCCTCCCGGGCAGCCACGGTGGGGGGGGGGGGGGCGTTGATTTGGTTTTGCTTTAGTTCTTTTGTGTTTGGTAGTTTTTGTTATTTTGTTGTTTTTTATTTAAATTATGTTTATTTCTCTGTGTGATCACAAGTTCAGCAAGCACCGTGTGTAAATAACACCTCAGTAAAGAGTCAGGGTGTGGTGTCTTGCACCTGTTATTCTCGGAGTCAGGAGCCTGAGCAGGAAGATCACCGTAGGTTTGATACCAGCCGAGACTACCCAGTGAGTCCCAGGCCAGCCTGGGCTCTGGTGAGACTCTGTCAGAAAGTCCGTACTGATAATAATTACAACACTTCAATAAATATGAAGAAACAAAAATCAAATTTAAAACTCACAGTGGGGCTAGAGAGATGGCTCAGAGGTTAAGAGCACTAATTGACCTGAGTTCAATTCTCAGCAACCACGTGGTGGCTCACAACCATCTTTAATGAGATCTGGTGCCCTCTTCTGGATGCAAGCATACACACAGTCAGAACACTATATACATAATAAATAAATCTTTAAAAAAAAAAACTCACAGTGATATGAATGTCTCACAACAGTTCAGAACTCTTGAAGGCGTCCTTTTTAATAGTTATAGTGTGTACTCGTTTACATTTGCTTTTCAGTGAGAATTTATTTGTATTTGCAGTGATTATTGAACCCATTCCAATTGGACAAGCTGCTAAGGACTATTTAAATTTGTACGTGACGCCAACCCTACTTCAAGGCCTCACAGAACTCTGTAAGCAGAAGCCAGAAGACCCTTATGTAAGATCCCTTTTTATTCTCACTAGAGAATAGTGTGTATCATTTTCATATTTAAAACTGTATTTGTTTGCTTTTGAGAGAGGGTCTCACTGTGTAGTCCTGGCTATCCTAACCCTGGCTAGCCTCAAATTCACAAAGATCTACTTGCCTCTGCCTCCTGAATGCTGGGATTAAAGATGCCACCACCATATCCAGCTAATACTTATTCTTTTTTTTTTTTTTTTTTGAGACAGAATTTCTCTGTAGCTTTGGTGTCTGTCCTGGAACACCCTCTGCAGACAAGGCTGGCCTAGAACTCACAGAGATCCTCCTGTCTCTGCCTCCCAAGTACTGAGATTAAAGGTGTGTACCACCACCACCTGGCTAATATTTATTCTTTTAGTCTAAAGATTCACAAGTTCTGAGTCTTTCTTGGTCTGTGTATTGATTCCGTGGCCACCAAGCAGGACAGTTTAGTGAGGCCCTAAAGTGTCTTCAAGGCTGATCCGATCTACACAGTGGACTCCAGACCAGCCAAGGCTGTGCAGTGAGACTCTGTCTCCAAAAAAAAAAAACAACAAAGGGGTGTGTGTTTGGGGGGGGGGGTCTGGGTAGGTTGGTGGGAGGTGGGTAAAGCATTTCCATGCAAGCCTCATGAACTGAGCTCCATTTTCTTATTCTTTTTACTGTTTTTATTAGCATATAGTAATTATACTTACTAAGTTTCATTATGACATTTTCATAGATGCACATAACACTGGGTGATTTTTTTTTTTTTTTTTGCTTATTGTTTTGTTGAAGGGTTTTGTTTAATTGTTTGGGGGAAGTCTCCTATGAAGCCCAGGCTGCCCTAAAACTTTCTCTGTAGACCAGGCTGGCCTTGAATGTTGTTGTAGATCTTTAGACAAGGTCTCTCTGTCTAGCCCTCGCTGGCCTATAACTTACTAGGAGATCATGTATTTGGTTGCGCATGTGTGCACCCCCTTACCTACCATTGTCCCTGTCCCGCTCCCCCACTTCCTCCTCCCTTTTAGCCCCTCTTCTGCTTCCATGTCTTCTGTTACATTGGACTGAGTTTCTTTAGGGTCATTTACAGGAACGCTCATGAGGGTATGAGCAAGGTGACAGGCCTTGCTAGGGAGGGCTCAGCCCGTGAACTTTTCCTCCTCCATTAAAATGTTGCAACAATTGAATTTATTTATTTATTTATTATGTTCTTATTGTGTGTACTACAATACATGTGTGGAGGTCAGAGAGGGCCTTCTCCTTCCACCGTGGGAGTCCTCAGGACCTTACTAAGGTCTTCAGGCTTGGAGGCAAGTACTTCTACCTGCCAAGCCATTTCTATGGCCCTCCATTTGTCATTATTATAATTATCATTATTTTATTTTATTTTTTATTTATTTATTTATTTATTTTTTGGTTTTTCGAGACAGGGTTTCTCTGTGGTTTTGGAGCCTGTCCTGGAACTAGCTCTGTAGACCAGGCTGGTCTCGAACTCACAGAGATCCGCCTGCCTCTGCCTCCAAAGTACTGGGATTAAAGGCGTGCGCCACCACCGCCTGGCCTTATTATTTTATTTTGTATTATGAGAGAGGATTCCCTGCATTCTGAGCTGGTCCCAGACTAGCCATGTAGACAAGGATAACTTTAGACCTTGCTTTTACCTCCCAAGTGCTGGGATTACAGATGTGTGTCCCTTCTCCCAGTTTACTAGGTGCTGGGGATCAAACCCAAGGCTTTGTATTTAGTAGGCAAACGTTCTACCAGATGAACCTATCCTCAGATCTTAAACTGTTTTTGCTTTTCCAAGACAGGGTTTCTCTGTGTAGCTCTTGTTGTCCTGGAACTAGCTCTGTAGACCAGGCTGACCTCGAAGTCATAAAGATTCGTCTGCTTCTGCTGGGATTGAAGGCATGCACCACCACCTCCTGGTTCTTTTTTTTTTTTTTTTTTTTTTTGGTTTTT